CAGACGTCCCTCCAAGCCTTGTATCTCTCGCCCTGATCGTCATAATCCACCGTGAGGGTGCGCGCATCATCAGCTGCTGTCTCAGAGTCATCTGGCAGCGGCTCCTTCACAGGGCTTGGATCAACGGCATCATCCTTCACCTTTGATCGCAAGTAGGCCTTGGTATCACTAACCAGGGCGGGAGCATCTGTGACTTTGACCCTCTGGCGCAGGGCCCATCCACATAGGGGTGGGAACGGCCATGCGGTCTGCATCCAGGGAGATCGCCTTTTCAAGCTATCAACCACTTCTGCGCCAAGGAGCAAGTATCCGGCCCAGGTTCTTCGTCCACACCAGCCATGCTCCGGACCAGACGAGGTGTGAGGCTGTCATCGAACTGTCCGGACTCTTTGAGGTCCTCGATGGCGTTCCGGATCAACTCTTTGAACTCCTCATCATTGGGGTAATCTGAAAAACGATAAACAGTCCGGCTCTCGACCAATACTTGAAATCTTCACGCTTCACCTTGAAAGAGACAGGCCCGTCTTCACTCATTCCAGAAAAGCTCTCCACATGGACATCTCGATCGGGGGTCACGATCATCCATGAAGTCACCTCGGAGGTGCGCCAGAGCAAGAGGCGCTCGTGGTACACATTGTCGTCACTGTACCATGCAACTAATGATTGGCCTGGATGGCATCTCGACAATGCCGCCTCCGCGTCGTCGCGGGGAACTCGATGGCCCATGTGGCCGGGCAGCTGTAACGCAGCGGTGGGCTCCAAAAGGCAACAAGACGAAGAGTGCACCAGCCAAGAAGCAAATCCAACCCTCTGAGGAGGGTGCCACCCAAGTCCCGCACTGACAGTGGCACAAGCAATTGCAGACAGACGGAATAGGAGGCTGCTCGAAGGATCGGATCGATGACTTCAGCCCGACTTCAACCAGCCTTGCGAGGTACAAGAGACCGATCGAGGTCGGCTTCATATGGGCTCCCTTTCTCCTTGAGCCAGATGCCACCCATGTGTCATCTGCTATCACGTCAAATCAAAAAAACTTCAAGCTAATCAATCTTCCTGTGCAATCACCATATATACTTGGGAGCGCATGCCTGTGGCAAGCATAGAGCCGGAGAATGCTAGAACAACACATCTCCAATGCATGACAGCGTCCAATCAAAAGCTCGTTGTCCCCTCAAACGTATTCAGCTAAGCTTTAATCAGTCCAAGTTGCATATCTGCTTTTAATTGTAAAAGCAGCTTTACTGCCTTCCTGGTGAAGCTGTGAGCATGGACGATACCCGAAGGCTAAAGCAATGACGACCATCAAGGTTCTTCCTTTCCAGTGCCCCAGTTCCGGCTAGATGGCTATCTACAGACCGATTGGACGAAGTCCTACACAACTGGGGCCATTGCCAAACAACCGCCAAAAAAAAGTGTCGCAACAAATTAAAATTTTCCCCACCATACAGGAGGAACAATTACTAGAAACGTTGCACCTGTTCAACCTCGGCCTGGTTTGATCGAAACCCGCGAAACCAAATCACTTGAACTACCTTTGACTTCATCATCGAGGGTCTGCATCAAATTTGCATGATTGGAACCGCAAAGGACACAAAACACATGCTGACTCACTGCCCCAGTCTTCAAACATCTTCAAACGTGTTTTTTGTTCTATTTACCTCTCTCTCTCTGTCCCTCTCTCTCTCTATATCTCGCTCTTTCCCTCTTCCTCCGTGACCAAAAACATGCGCAAATATGCGCGTATAACCCTCTATGCACGTAAAACAAAATTGGGAGCAACTCCTCGTCGAAAGAGCTGCGGCCAAGGACAATGCAGTATGCTGCCCATCCTTAGTATATTTGGGGCAACAAAAATTGAGTGCACCACTAAAACATCAAAATGCATTCCATGTGTTGTGTACCGCACCCCACTAAGCAATAACTGGGCTGGGCAGGGTGGCAATGTTTATGTCATATTTTGTGGTATAAGGTGATTGTTATTCACTTGCCGCACTGACCCTCATACTTGGACATCAATCCCAAAATTTCAGCCCCAACCGTTTGAAAGACCAAGTCTTTAATGTTTGCACACGGCGGAAGGTAAGCAAATGGGCCCGGAACATCATCAAAACTTCCAGACTCAATCATGGGCACAGCTTGCACCAGCATGTCGAACCAAATCCAGTGTCAGAAAAAATAGGAGTAGCTGAGGAGTGTCCAAACCTTGGTTCAACTTTGCGTTTCAGGGTGTTTGATGTCAACGACGCCCAGCATCTAATTGGGCATCTTTGATGTCCCAATTCATGACCTCATTGGGGTCTGCCTGCGCCAAAAAAGATCAATTTGCAAGAGACAAGCGAGTGCTTGGCACAACAGTACAATGTACAACAGCGCTCGCGGCACACGCTTGACATTAGGAAAGTGAGTCAGACATGTTCTTTCCAGCCCTCTTGGATTCAAGTCGGGTGACACTGAGACTTGCACATACCAACGCGGGAAACGGTACATTTAACCATGGACACCCTGTATTTAACCACGGGCAAGATGTACCCTTAACGGTTAACATGAAACACGTTTTCCTCCTAAGGGTTGATGTTCTACTTCTTTGCTTGCTTTGATGCGTCTGCAAGCTAGCCAGCACCTGTGAAGCTGATGCGTGGGTAGGTAAGCCGAGAAGCACGTATCATGTCTGATAGTTGGAAGTTCATTCACTGCCTCTAGTTTCGACCTTCATCATCTTTGGCAAAGGGCACACCGACTGCTCTTTGCCAAAGCAGAGCTGCAGTTGGAGGGAAGATTGGCAGGGCCCGAAGGTAAGGTATCCAGCCTTGCGGATATCACTGAATCGACCATTGATGACTCGTCAGTGGCGAGCCAACACCACTGATTTTGGGAGGGGTCCACTGATGAACCCCCGTGCATCAGGAGCAGGATCGTTTGGTGCGTGATCTCTCCTCTTCACTGGCCGCCCACAGAGTCATCCGTAAGGGTGGTGGCGGACTCATTGGCACTGCATGACTGCGTGGCCTCAACATTATCGGGCGGTAGCTCTAAGGATGGCATGCAGTGATCACAGAAAGTCCGACTTGGCCGGGGGGGCTTTGCGTCTGCTGCAATGGCATCCGCAGATCCCAACTGCCCGCACTGCAATCTCGTCCACATCGACTGTCTCCTCCGAAATGTCTGAGTGCGGATGGTAGAAGCCCTGTTGCAACTGCCATCAAAAGAAATGAGGGAAGACACATGGTGACGCCTAGAACATTCCACGCCACTCCCTCAAAGTCACACGATACCCAAATCCTGCAGTTTCAGGGGCATCTTGTCCACATCCACCATCTTTGCCAAAACCACCAGCTGCGCGTCTAGGCTTCTTAGTTGTGATGGTGCCTGCTGCTCCTGCTCCTGCTCCTGCTCCTGCTCCTCCTCCTGCTGCTGCTGCTGCTGCTGTTACTGTTACGGGACAAAGTGACTGCAATTCAAGGTTAAGGCATAATATCTGCGAGACTATGTTGTTTTGTTGTGCGTCCAACATGGTGTGCCTAAAGCAAACCACACGGGCAGGCATAAACCTCCTGCTATGTATATAAACTGTCACGTTACCTATGTTTAATCTCCTTGTGCCTCCACAACACACACACAAGTAATGAACGACCATGAACCATGCACTTGTAACTTGTGTACTCAAACTAAAGTCAGGTGAATGCTGGCACAAGTATGCAGCCACATTTTCAGCTCACCCAACCAGTTGACCATTTCGACTGGCAAAGCTCCCAGTCGGCCTTTGCTTCGATCAGTTTTCTGATCACTGGCAAGTTACCTTCGATACCTTGGACACGGTGATTTCGCCGTTTCGTCCAGCGGGCTGGAAGGTTCGGGTATGTAGCTTGGAGGGTCTCCCGATCCAATTATGAGAAGTTCCTTAGAAAGATATGTTTTAACAAACATACAATATATGTCTATCTATGTTAGTTTTTTGTTTGGCGTTCTTGATAAAATGGTAATGCACACTTAAAGACCAAAATCATTGGTATAGAAAATGACCCAATGCCATCGATAGTACGTTGACAACAAGGGTGCACCACTGCTGGCTCGAGCAAAAGCCCACTATAGTGACAAGGGCGATGACAACGGATCTTCTCTCTCTCTCTCTCAACTGCAGGAAGCTCGCCAGTAAAAAATAGAGAAGAAGCTCCCAACATTTCTTCAAGACTTCTCATTATTGTTGGCAGCTTCGAACTCAAGCCTCTACTCTTTATCCCTGGAGTCATCTCCCAAGCCCTCAGTCTCGCCTGCGAGCATCAATGGACTTAGCCCTCCTTGCTCCTGGGCCGATTCTTTCGTCATAGTCGACTCTGGGAAAGTTGGACGTTTGGACATCTACCGAACATCCAGACCTTCCGACAGGGTCTTTGTGTGCAAGTGAGGAGCAAAACGAAACAAATGCTCAAACCAGGGGCCCTTTCCATGCCCGATTTGACATCGACACCGGGCTCGTCGGCTCTGTCCGGTCAGTCCACTGGTTCCGCCGAAAGGGGAAGGTTTGAAGTCATTCCAGGTCAGGCCACACATGCCAGGAGCGATGCCTTACTAGTAGTAACAAGAAGCTACTAGGAACAAGTGCCACGCTACTAGGAACAGGTGCCTTACTAGTAGTAACAAGAAGCTACTAGGGGCTCCTGGCGTCGCTACTAGTTTCGAGTGTGTGACGATGTGTGACGGATGCAATGCGATACACCAATGATGCGTAGACTTGCATGAGCAACAGCGCATGCACAAACATACCTCCGCATTGTAAATAGATTCATTGGACGGTACACCCCTTCTGGGTCCAGGTACTGGTCCATATGTATATACACATAATTGGAGATGTAGACATGTATTTTGATCACCCCCCGCCAAACCGGCCAAGGAGCGTAGTGATGCAACTCGCTATCCATGTTGTAGCGCTGAAGAAAGCTCGGGATGTCTGCCTGGACCGTTGGGAACAAATGGCACAACCCCAACACAAAACTTGGATTTGCTTAAGGAACCTGGAAAAAGACTAACACATATTCCCAAAAAGGGAATTTAGCTTGCAAATAAACAAGAGACGGCATTCTCGTGGCGTATCCTGGTGTCATGTCTTCTAAAAACTCGTCAAACCTGTCCAGTGACCCTGCCTCCTGCGTCCCTTCCACTGGTTCAGGATGTCCCTGGCCACGTGGACCCAAAGCCTTGTAGAAGCGCCAGCTGGGCATATCGCCTTGGGACAAACGACAAAAAGGCCGTTGGTGCTGTTGAAAATGTCCTCTCAACCACTCAACCTGTCAACAGTGGAGATCAGGCCTTGCCCATTGTAACAGGCTTGTTCTCAGGACCACTCATCATCTGTTCTTTATTTCCCTTGTTCAATCACCAGCATGCACATTATTGGGGGCCATAGAAGTCCATTCCCATACCAGCAGCTTGCAATGGGCAAGCTCAACCTGTTTGCATGGCTTCATGCCCAGAAAGCTTGAAGAGACTGACAGGTCACCCCCAACTGCAGATCCCTGCAGTCCAAGGTTCGCTTCAACCAAAGCGCATGGCACTTGAGTTGAAGCAGCTCATTGGTGAGCTGCTTCACTTTGCTGCGATCGGCCTGTGGCGCAGCGAATGAGGTCGAGTCTGATGGCTGGCCCTGCAAGACAGGTGGAGGTTCCACTAGCATGACCAAGACAGCAGGCAATTCTACGACCTAGTCGCAACTTTCAGTCAACGTGTTGCATGAAGATGCGTTTGCTTTGACAAAACTTGGGTAAAATGGGACTCTGTCGCCAACTTCAAAAAGCCTTGGCGGCCTTGGTGTGTCACTTTGTCCTTTCGGTTAAGTTTCTAAACACCTAGAAACCAAATCATTAGAGCTAGCGCGTCCTGGAAGAATCGTGAGCTATCCTGCGTCCTAAGTAGTAGCTTAAGCAGCTTACTTGTATAGGTACTAGCTACATAGCTACTACTACCAGTAGCTACCTACCTGAGCTATAGCTACGACCCCCCCTTTAAACAAATGATACAGTAAAGCATGTTTCACATCATTTCACCTGGTTCTGACTTTGGCCCACTCCAAAAAGTCCCAGCGATTCTCAGCCAACCTCGACGGTGAAATCACCTTCTCCTGTGATTTCATTGCATCGCGGCCAAAGGAGATGTTTGGATCATTGCTTGTTTGGAGTTTGGGGAGGTGCCTCTTTTTGTACCAAGTGGGGAGAAGAGGTAGAGGCAGCTTGAGAAGTTTCTAGATTGCAATAGATTGCCAAACACCCAAGGCATAAGCAAGGGGGGTCTTCTTCAAAAGTAGGAAGCCTAAGAACACACAGCAGTTTGGGAAATTGTTGGTCAAACACAGCAGAAGCCAACACGTGTTTTATACAACATCTTTGTTCTAACAGGTACCAGTAATTGCACCAAACATTGCCAAACAAGTGCCCATGTATGGCCGGCAAGCACCTGGAAGGGCTGAGCTTGTGACTCTTGACTAAGCAGAGGTACCTTCCAGTGCCTGACTTAACATCATAGAGCGTTGTATAATAAATCACTATATAATATGTATAACATATATATTGACCAAACACTGCATGTTGTATCTCGGTGATTGCTTCGACTGGACTCTCCCATATGTGCCCGCATGTCATAGGCAGTTTGTCAACCCGTCCTGGCCAAGCCCTTGCCCATTCGTTGCCATTGGACACCAAGACCGAGTTCGGAGAGCAAATGAACTCGGCACGGAGCGCGGCACGGAGCTTCGTGGTGGCTTTAGGGCGAGAACGAAACTGTTCGGAAGTCACTGGAAGAGAAGCTGCAGACGCCTTCGCTTGACCTTTCCCGGTTTGAGCCTTACCAGGTGCTCAGCTCCATAGGGCACCCCATCAGCCCTGCAGTGTAACTTCTGACTTGACAATTATTTGCGTTCTTGCCCCGTATCAAATGCCAAAAGAAAACCAACCGATTGAATTCTGAGAGACGTTCGCTAGTGCCAAATAGAACGTTCGAGGTGTTTGTTCCCAAGCATCGATCTCTTTGTATGCACGGCACTTGTTCTGTACTGGTGGCATCCTGTCCGCAAAAAGGAATCCCCCAAGCAGCAAGTTTGCCTTGCAGAATCGCCTCTTTGAGGACATCTTTGCCAGAATTGGCATAGACTATGCATAGACGACCTCCTGCTAACATCTTGAATATCAACTTTCGACCAAAAACAACCGGTTGTCTCAGGATCAGTGCGCCCCGAAGAGCTCCAGAGTACCCAGGAAAGCACCAGTGTGGACCAGCTCTTAACACATGACATTACCTTCAAAAAGACAAAGGCGCACACCATAGGTCACAAGGGTTTTTGGGCTTCAACCTTTGGCCGTACACCTTGCAATATCTGGCAGCTGCTCATGGAAAAAGAGTGACAATCCTTGAACCAGCACAACAACACTGAGGGGTCTTGGGCTGGGAAGGGAGGGCTGCCTCAAGGAAACACAACCAAAACATCCTGAAAGGTCTTGGGTCGGCAGAGGGGCTCAACAACTATGTAGATTAATTGTAGGTGTTGCTTTTTCGGTTTGACTGTTTTGTTGGTTTTTGTTTACCTTTCCTTTATTGCTTTTTGTGTCTTTTTGTTTTAATTATGTTCAATTGTGAGAATAGCTTATTATGATTTTTATGTAATTAAATCAACATCTTAGCTGAAGTCTTTGGCTGTGCACCTGTGCATTTTAATCCGGCCGCCCGTTCTGAACCAAAGACCTTGAACAAGGTGGGTTTTGATCCATTTTGGCCTCCGGCCTTCGATCCACTTGGATCCGTTTGGATCTGAACCTCCTGGGACTCCCGAGCCAACAGCTGCTTCTCCACGCGCGAGAGCACAGCGGCCGTGCGCTCAGCGCGGCACCAGCCTGCGCATTTTGTTGGTGGAGACCATCAGCAGCAGCCGTTGTTGTGAGTTCAGATTTTTTTTAATGAAACACCCATGCACACATATACACACTCACATATGCTGCATGTCCTTCTGTGGGCATCACTATAGATATGGTCCCACAAGAATCTTGGCCTCACACACACACACACTGACACGTTGGCACCATAAGCAAATATATACTGATATATACTGGTTTCTATCCGCCGAAAATGGGCAAACTGAGCCTCTGCCCTGCATTGCTCATCCTCAAGCGCCCATCCCTCCAGCTTTGCCGGAGTTTTTGGAGAATCCCCTTCCACCATCTTCCACAGGCAGGCGCCTCGCATGCCCCAGGTGCTACGGCTCATCATGGCCCCGGTGTCGCAATGCGTGATGGATGGCGCCAAAACAAAGACCTCAGGATGCTGGGATGGTCAGGGACCAGCAATGAACGAGGGCAGTGATGCATGCGACGTCCGATGGTACCATCTTGAATCGGAATCCTCACACAACAATCATCAACAATCCCGCGTTGGCCGCCCAGTGTGCTGAGACAATTGCAAAGAATATCTAACAGTGGCCAGTGATGCTTCTAGCGTGAACAAGGAGCTCAGTGCGCTCTACACTGTACACAAAGGTCAGCTCAGATCTCCAACAGTCCAACCGCTAGGCCAACTATCTCACAAGAGTGTTTTGCATGAATTGTGTTGTCCCTGTCCTCTTTAATAGCATCTGGTCATGGAGATAAACAAAGCTAACACATGTCAGCATGTCTTTTTTACAGTATCGAGGAGGCCTTGTCCATCAACACACCGCCAGCACAGATTTCCCCTTGAGCTCTCGACATAATCCGCAATGTTGCAATACCTTGGCTCAAACGCGGTCACTGGAGAGCGCGAGCGTGGTTTGGGCAGCGTACGTTGTGAGACCATTTGAGTGGGTCATCTAGTGACTGCTCAGCGCCGCTGTGAGACCATATCCCCTAAGCTTTTATCTGAAACAAAGAACAACACCCTTTGCACTCCGCATGGGAGATTCTGTCCGTCCTGAAGGGTAAAATCAATCAATGACATACATGACAAGTGATACTATTAGGAGTCCTCTCTGTGTCCTATCTTTTCAGCCATTTCAAGCACACATGGATGAGCACTTCCCTGGAACTATCCTGTGAGCTGTCCGAAGAAGGCTGCGGCTAGCGCCTATGCTGATGGGCTTTCTCAACATGACAACCACAGGACGAGCATGTTCCATGAGTACCGAAAGTCATGCGAGCCAGTGCAGCAAAATCAAGAACATGTGAGATCCCTAACCAGATATGATAATAATAATATATGATAACATATCATACCATGCTACATATCTGATACTTCCAAACTTTCTCAGAGGACCTTCTCAGGCACCATCCGCATCTCAACCAAACATCCGCCCGTCCCTGCCCGCTCCTCACCGTCCCTCGGACCGAGGGACGCAGGGATGCTATTCACCGCCGCTTGCAGCTCGGCGGCCCCCGAGTCGTAGGCGCGGTCGTCCTTGGTTTCGACACAGGGGGTCGACCGGCTCAGAGCAATCGACCGTGGAAGCTGCAAACTGATTCCAAACAACGACACCTTCTGAGGCAACAAACATATTGGTCCCGTGTGGGTTTTTGCAGTTACTCATGGGGGGAGTTCAGCAGTTGCAGCGATTTTTTTGCCTGGAAGAACCCAAGAATCTCAAGCGTCTTTCATTGTTTCAAGGGCATTCGTTTTTATACGCTATTCATGCACACGCTTTTGTCTGACAACATTGAATGGGAAAATTGTGTTGGATCCAGAAACTGGGGGAAGAATGGTGGGCATGGTAGGACAAGGGACTTGGAAGGGACGTGGATTCGCGACTGGCAGGTTTGATTCACTTCATTTCACTTTATGTACCCTGACCTGTAAAAGCCTGAACTTAGCACACTTAAGGCTCAACAAGAACCAGCCCAATTGTGATCTCTTGCCCTTATTTGATGCTGATCTAATGAGCAACAATCATGAGGGCTGGACAGGACACCGTGAGTTGTTGATTCCCATGCATTCTCTGATTTCGATTGATTTCGGGCAATTTCGGGGATTGGGGGGGTCCAGGGAGTCCAGACTGGGAAAGCAGGCATCTTACACCTTCCTCAGTTCGATTCTACCATTGCAGCGTTCGATGCATGGTTGATGCACGTTTGATGCATGTATACCTATGCATGTCAACGTTTTGTCCATGTGTCCAGACTACGAATTGACAGCCCAATGCTTCCGTGCACGATGTGCACGACAAACAAAGACAGGGTGCAATCTGCGGGCAGCCAAAGTAGTCATACCAAATGTCCCACTCGAGGACACTCTTCTGCTCCTGAAAACAGGATGTATCCCAGAAAGCCAGTGTCCTTGATATCAAAACGTATCATACATGGCCCTGCCATCCTCACTTATCCTCGCATTTTGCTCCAAAAAGGTCGATCCAGGAGAACTTAGCCTCCAATCCGAGGTCGTTGATGTTCGCAATGCACTCCCCATTTGATTTCGGATGCCGGGGGGGCCTCCATGCTGGGGATCGGTTGCTTGGCAGCGCCGTTCAACTCTGACAGCTCGCTGCTGGGGTCCTGCAGCGCTACTCGTTGGAACGACATGCAGCGACCGCACGAGGAGGAGGAGAAATTCAGAAAGGAACGGGACATGATGAAGAGTCTTTACTAGCCACACACAGCAGGTTGGCTTAGCACGATATGGTCATACAATGGTCATATATAATCTCTTTTCAATTTGTTTTGCATTCAAGTCTTTGCTAAGAAATTGCAGTGTGGCTCAATGGCCAAAAATGTTCCAAGATGGTCCAAATCTTGAGGTGTTGTCAACCAATACCATCCATGACATTCCATGACAATCCACTGATGGGCACTGCACGTCTACAAGAAGTATTGCTCAACAACCAAACATACTATTTAACCATAAAATAAATATGTTCAACATTTTGTCAATCTGGCTGGTTGTCTTTGTTTGCTATCCTTTCCTATCTTGCCATTGACATTGGTGTATCATCTATACGGCGACAACAACCGTGTGACGTCGTCCGATGATCGCACACCTCTCGTCGATCGAACACCGTCCTTGGAGACGCGACAATTGCCTCTGGACATCTCCAGCAAGGCCTGGAGCAGGTCGCTTCGATACGTCGATCGCCCCAAAGGCCCCTGTGGCTCTGGTCGTTTTGTGTCCCGAGGCCTTGGACCTGAAGTTTTGCTTTGAAAGCGTAATTCGTTGGGTGTGGATAGTTTTTTAATGTCCAGTGGGAAGTGATTCAGTGGCCATGCTTCATGACATTAATAAATTGGTATGATCCTGATATGATCTTGTATGCCTCCATGCATACCGCTTCTGGGACACCGCCGGGATCTCCCTTCACTCTCTAAAAAAGCGGGCTCCGCCTGCTGAAGCACCGCGAACTGCTCGAACTTGGGATCGGGATGACGTCGACCCGCCCATTGGTGGGAGATCAGCATCACCTCATTTACCACCCGAGCATGTCCAACTTGGACTGCCCATCAGCTGCTCTTTGTCGAATGAGTTCATACAAAAATGCAATGAGTCAGACGGTCTAGTCTGAGTCAGCAAGATCTCACTTCGGCCCTTTTCAGGCGGCGCTGTTTACACCATCTTGTAGAAACCTATAGAAACCAAAAAGAAGAAACTCAGCCTGAAGTATCTGAAGTACTCCTGCCCACTGGCTGGTTGGGGGCCAGTGTCTGGTTGTGATTCGATGTGGATGTTCGAAGCTGATGTTAGTGAAACTTCTCAAATTGTCAAGCGACTATGACACGATCGCAGGAGACTTGCCACCTTGGGGATCCTCAACCTTCCAATATTCCAAGTCCAGGCTTTGGAGAGATCTCCACTAGCCTGAGACGGCGATCAGCCAAACTGCCCCGCCTTGTTGGGATGGCCACTTCTCCATTGGATCAAGTGGCCAGCATCTAACATCTCCTCCAGTCTTGCCACTGATTCTCTCAGCCCTAAATTGGATTCCAGACATGTCCGAATCAATCATCGGACTCTTGCAGGTCATGCTGGGGAATATGCATGCCTTCTCCTGCTTTCCTGTAAAGGACTAGCTTGGCAACTATCCTTTTGGAGCAGGCTGCGTTGAGGGGAATCCGAAACGAGTCTCTCCCCACCTCTTGCCGAGTGCCCGAAAAGAGAACTTCGCACCAGCTCGGCCCCATGGGCCGGGTGACCGACGGTGTCGAGATTGTGACGTTTTTGAACCTTTTGGGGGGGTATGGGGGCCACGTCCGGGACAGCTGGATCACTTTTTAGATGCTATGAAAAACCAGAGACAGAGAGACTCCAAGTACATGGATTGCAATTGATCATGTGATCGTCATGTCCCTCTCACACTCAGTTCTCAGTTCAACGACCGACCGTCCTTTGTGGATGCGTCGACTCCTCTGGTCCCGTCCTTGTGAGGTCTCAGCGGAGGCTTCAGGGTCACAAGGACCTTCACAGTGGTGCCAACGAGCGGCGCTCGTCGTTTTCTCGGACGGTGGAGGGGTGAATTTCTCTCGATCGTTTCAGAGTCCTCCTTCTCCGAAGGAAGGGCCAGTAGCTGCAAACTTCCCGAAGGAAGGCTTACTTAAGTCACTTCAGTTTGCAAAATAACTTTGGTGAATTGCATGCAAACCTTACAAGATTGCAGCGGTATATGTCTCTCCACAAAGCTCCAATTTTTTGTAATAATGTTTTACAAAAGGTTGGCCAATCTGGTTGAGACGAGATGAGTAGTTATTCTTTGCCTTTCGGTCTGCTCCTACTTCAATGAAAACATATCAATATAAGGAGATATAAGGAGCTCTCTGCCCCAGCAAAGCATGGTTGGCAAATGTTGGCAATCTCTTGGGGATAGGTAGTTCACCGTTACGTATACCTGGTATACCTATGCTGATGCCAAAACTGATGACCAACTCGTTGGGGAATATCTGACATATGAACTTCGCCTTCAGAGGCTTGGTGAATTCATGTCACCCCCCCGAAATCACCACTCGACCTGATTTCCGAAACTGACGACCACCGAGGATGTTACTACTAGCATACAAACTGGTCATGAGGGGCATCTTGACATGAGGGGCATCCGATTGTCGTAATTATTCGAAGTATCCATATCCCCATCAAGCGGTTCGATAGTGGACAGCATCGGCTTGCGACCTGCAACATCTTGGAAGTTGGCTCTCCAAAATTATATATCATGTTCATACTCATGTTACTCATGTTCATATCATGTTCATTTCTGAATGGAACAATGGTACTAATGTATCAAATTTCTCTCACAAAGCTATGGTGGAGGGAAATTCATTGTCTCTCCT